GCCAGAACTTTCGGGGAAAAAAAGTCTTATTTTAACTTTGATCAAATAGACCAACTTTATATCCTGTCTTTTTACTTCTAACAATCTTAATCTTTAATTCAATCTGATATTGTTGTAGGATTTGATTTCTCATCAATTCTTCCTTATCCCATTGCACAGTTCTTTTTCAAGGCTTTAACAAGCCTTTTTTGTAGATCCAATAAGAAAACATTTTCCAGGTCATTCTCTTGGGTTATCATTTGTATTTTCCTTTTAATTTTTAAAATTTCAGTCAGTTTCTTTTGTATATCCAACAAAGTGTCCTTGTCCAAGTCACTCTCTTGGCCTGTCATTTGTAGTTCCACTTTGGTACTTTCTCTGTCTTGTCAGAAAAATTTGTTCCACATCTGTCATTCCTTCATTAACATGTTTTAGACATAGTCTATCCATGTAAGCAGACACCATTTCTGACAGTGTTGATATTGTAGTTACTAATTTCTGGCTCCATTCTTCAAGGAACTCCTTTAATATTTTCGATGTTATAAAGTATTGTATCATTTTATAAGTCCCAGTATTAAATGGCATCAGGCTTTATATTTTTTTTCTTCTGCTTAAAATCTTTAGTCCCCTCAAGTATCAAGTTTCTAAAATCATCAATTATCTTTGTTATGACTTACAATAGCCAGGATAGCCAAAATAATCATGTTTCCCACAAGAAGTTATTTATTTTTATAGTTAATTTCAAAATCTTATAGTAAAAGTCAATATTCCAAATTTAACTGGACCTTTATTTGAAACTTTCTTAGATCAAAATATTATTTAGCTTTTTGCTGTTTATTTCAAATTATTTAAGTTCTTAAGCTTATAATTAATTTTTCTTTTGTTCAAAGTTGACGACATACTCACCCAATGAAGACTTTTCAATATAGTTAATTTCAAAATCTTATAGTAAAAGTCAATATTCCAAATTTAACTGGACCTTTATTTGAAACTTTCTTAGATCAAAATATTATTTAGCTTTTTGCTGATAGAAACAGAGACAAGATGAAGGAAAGCTTATAATTAATTTTTCTTTTGTTCAAAGTTGACGACATACTCACCCAATGAAGACTTTTCAAACTTGTCATTCCAAAGGTCTTTAATTGCTTTAAGATGGTTAATAGGCAATTTCCTAAAGTGATTAGAAAGTAAAACTTAAGTGAACATCCAGTTTGGTCTATTTAATTTCCTCTTTAATTTCAGATGCCTTAGTTCATTCTATGTTCCAGCTCTATGGACCTAAAGCAATAATGACAAACTGAGTGACAAACTTCCTTGCATCTTTGTTCTGATCATATCATCACTTCCAGAACAGCTTTTGAAAATGTGATACTTTTTCCCAGTAACTGGAGGAAGGCCCTTTGACGTGAGATCTCATCATCTCACTCCCAGATTTATGTAAATGTATCAGACATATCCATACAGTATATTTGTAAAGAATGCAGTACTTTGTCATTTCTTCCTTTTGGGTTCGATTTTAGAGTTATTTCTTCTGTGTGGGTTGACTTCCTTCATACTAACCACCACCACCACCACTATCTGCCCTCATCCCCATTGTGGATTATGTGTAACTTCCCTTCTCCCTTTCAACCTTATCCACAGAGCAATTTGACAGTCCATTCTATAAGCAGCTCCTCCCCATCCAAAATGTAAGTACGCTGCCTCTTTCAGTGGCATAGTTTCCTGACATATAAAGAACGTGTCTTTAATAATCAGTTCAATAGTTTTCCTTTTCCTAGTTTGCAATACAGTATTGCTGCTCCTTCAAAGATTTGTTTCCCATCTGCTGAATAAATAGGAGTTTTGTCATTCATGTTCAATTCAGTAAATCTCTCCCTTTCTTTAATTAAATTACTGTTTGCTCCAGAGTCCGTGCGGATCCTTTCATAATGCTTTTCAGGGTTAGCTCCAAAATTCTTCTCCGTGTCAACCATGATAAAGTTTCTGTCTGCCAACTTTATCACAGCATTCCTTCTATTGTTCCTTAATAAGTCATCCTCTCTGAAATACAGGTTGACTTGTTTTGTGCCAGCAAGTCGCTTTTCTTTGGGGGCACTTAATTTGCATATGCAAAGTCACATCTCCTATATCTACCTAGTTTTAACAACAACTTCTCAGCACTTTTGCATATACTGAAATATTCTAAGTGGTTTATAATAAGTGGCAAGTTTTATACCTTCCCTTCTTTCTAGAGCATTCATAAGAATTTCCAAACATTCTGGGAGGATACTTAGCATTAATCTACTTGAGGTTATTTCAGACAGAGTCACTCTTTTTGTATACATTTTTATTAAATTTCAGAAAAAAAGTAAAATACAAAAAGATTGAAAGAACAGAAAAAAATAATAAAAGAGAGAAAAATACAAAAGAAGAAAAGTAACTTTTGACTTTCTTTGGTATAGGCATATAATAAATTCATCTCTTAGTCCAATATCTAAAAATTCAATAATAAAAATTATCCTTTACTCTAACATTTTTAAAAAATACAAAATAAGTCTACATCAGCAAAAATATAAAAAGAATAATACAAGATATTTATGTAGTTATAGAATAAATCAGTCATCGAATCCCAAAATCAAAATTTCATTTTTGTGTATATCAAGTAAAAAGTCCAAGAGTGGTTTCCAAATAGAAACAAAACTAGGCAATGTCCTTCCTTTCATTAAAATAGTCAGTTTTGCCATCTCCACCAGTTCCATTAATGTTAACATCCATTCTTCAGCTGTAGCTGTTTGTAGATCCTTCTATTTTTGCGGGTATAAAAGTCTTGCTGCTGTTATCATATAAAGAAATAAATTTCCATATTTTCTTTCTATCTGCTTGTCCATCATACCTAAAAGAAAAGTCTCTGGTTTCAATTGTATATCCATTTTTAAGATTTTTTGAGTCAAAATACATATCGTATCCCAATATTTCTTAGTTTTTCGCAAGTCTACCATAAATGTAAAAAGTGCCTTCACATTGATTGCATTTCCATCATACATTTGAGATTTCTTTATACATCTTAGATAGTTTATCCAGTGTCAAATACCAATGATACATCATTTTACTAAAAATTTATTTTAAGTTACAATTAAGAGTAAACTTCAAACCTTTATTCCACATATTTTACCATTGACTCAGCATTATGTTATATCCAAAGTTTTTTGCCCATTTAAACATACAGTCTTTAACATATTCATCTTCCAAATTCATCTTTAACAAAAAAAAATTATATACTTTAACAATAAGATGTCCATCATTAGTACATACATTGTGGGGAGATGGGCGGGGACAAATTAAATAAATAAATAAATAAAAAATAAATAAAGCATATTCAAACTCTGTTGTTTTATATATTAAATCACACTTGAAACCACTGCTTTTACTAACAGATGAAAATGGTAGATATGTTGCAGTGGAGATTAAGCTGCAAGGAATTAAATCCATAACTGTTGGGTTATATGTTCCTAATGAAGATAAAGGATTTTTTTAAAACATCTTATGGATCAGCTGACACTTTTACATATGAAAATTGGTGCTTGATGTGAGATTGGAATGGAGTAACTTCACCTCAAATGGATAGAACTTCTGGAAAAGGAATTAAATTTAATCAAGGGAAATTGCTCAATTGTCCTTTTTTGATTTGTTTGAAAATCTGATTTTGATTGATTCCTGGAGACAGCAAAATGGGAATTCTAGGACATATTCCTTCTTCTCAGAGAGACATACAGTAAATCTTTCTCTAGAATTGATATGATATGGATTTCAAAGACTCTGGCAAATAAGATTAGTAGAGTGGACATTTTACCAAAAACCTTCTCTGACCATAATCCAGTTACACTGATACTCAAGAGGAAATCTACAACATTTAGGTGGAGATTAAATGAATCATTATTACAAAAAGAATTGGTGGTGAAGGAATGTAAAAAAAAGTTAAATTAATAATTTGATAACAATTTGGATAAAGGAACAGAGTTAAAAACTGTCTGGGATGCTAGTAAAGCAGTGATGAGAGGCTATTTCATTCAATACAGTTGTGAACTATTTTGATGCTATCTTGTATGGATGAAAGAGTGGGTGACTTTAAAAAAACAAGAGGTTATTGGAGCTAGAAGGACATGTTTTAAGATTTGGATGGCATGGATATTTATGGTATGATAAAATGAAAGTGAATATTGATTTCAAGCATTTTATTAGATGTGCCATATTGAAAGTCTGGAACAGAAATAAGGTAAGATTGTCTTCAAAAATCCCTTTGTGGTTGTCACCCCAAGAAGCTTTCTACAGAAGAGAAATGACACTTAAAGAACCATGGTTGACATATGCAAAGTATTATCTTTTTCTGATGGAGAGCCTAATCTGAAGAAGAGAGAAGAATTAGAATTGGAAGGTCATAGTTGCCAATGGTTTACCTATCCAAAGCTTTTGGAAAGATTTAAACTGGATAAGAAAAGTTATGAATTTACCTAGGAGAAAACAGAGTTTGAATATGCTTTATGTACTACAGATAGAGTCACTGTTGAACAGTGCATGATATCTCTAACATCTCATTCCATGAGGATATTAACTTTCTCTTTTCAGTCACATGAGCTTAGAACAAGGTAAACTTTAGAAACTATAAAACTTTTGGTCTCTTCAGCATTTCCCAGTGCTTTACTAAACGTTCTGCCATTACCAGAACTTATGGCATATGCTATATGCTATGTAGAAAAAGTAGGTCCTGAATCTCCCTGTTTTTCATTTCAATGGATGATTTCTAATAGCTCTTTTTTTCTGTGTTATTTATACCATGCATGATTTTCATAGAACCAGGGAATATAAAGGCTGGAAGAGCCCTTGTACATAACCTAGTCTAAATCCCTAGAAATCTACTACTGCAACATTCCTGAGATATGACCATCTGATCTCTATTCAAATACCTTCAGTGAAGGATTGTCCACCTCTACATGAGGCAGCCTGTTCCATTGGGGAACAACTCTTACTATTAAGGTATTTTTCCTGATGTCTTATTGACATCTGCCTTGCAATTTGAATTTTTTTTTTTTTCTGGAATATCTCTGCCCTGTCTTCTACATGACAGCTCCTCAGATACTTGAAGACAGCTATCATGCTTCCCTGCAGTCCTCTTTTCCAAGTTACAAATACCCAACAAAGCCTCATTTTCATTTTCCTTCCAAGTCACTTATCTCTGGGAACCATCCAGTTTGTCAATGTTCTTCTTTAAATGTGATGCCCTGAACTGGACACAATATTCTAGGTCTGGTCTGCCTAGACCAATAGTCTGCACAATAGTGAGGAACAGTAATGCATGAGTTTATATACTTCTATCTCATCTCCTTCTACTTTCTTCCATTCCAAGGTAAAAACTCCCAGATTCTGTAGTCTTTTCTCAAGGGACAAGTGCTCCAACATACTAATCATTTTGGTTGTCCTTTTTTTTCCACAATTTGTACCTTTGTAATATGCTTCTTAAGGTATGGTGACCAGAACTATGCACAGGTTTTGGCATTTATTTGTATATGGCCATTATATCAACAGTTTTATTTTAAATCCTTTTGTAGTTGTTACAAGCATGACATTTGTTTGTTTTTAGCAGTGGCACACTGGCTTAACATTTTCATTCAGTTATCTACCATGACTACAAGATCCATTTTCTGACTTGTCAATGGCGGCTTAGATCCCATTAATGTATAAATGAAGTTTGGATTTTTTGTACAAACCTGCATCAAATTAGGTATGTTTACATTGAACTGCATTAGCCATTTTACAGCACATTCGCTCAGTTTGGAGAAATCCATTTGGAGCTCTTCAAAATCCCATTTTGATTTTAACACTCTGAACAGTTTGGTATCATGAACAAACATGAATACCTTACTGCTCATTCCTAACATCAGATCATTTATATTCAGATTACAGTATGTCAGCATACTATGTACATCTCACAGTGTGAGACATGCCCATCTATTCCGAGACTGTTTCCTGTGTTATAATTAGTTGCCAGTCAATGAGAGCACCTGTTATTTTAGATGATGACAAATGAATTTGCTCAGGAATATTTGGTGAGGCTTTTTGCCAGTCCAAGTATACAGTATCTTTTGGGTCATTCCTGTCT